TGTGACTAACGCGTAATCAACAACGCTATGACCATTATACGTGTGACATGTAAAGTTGCCAAGTCTGTCACCAATAGTTCGCCCGTTTAATATTATTAATTTACAGCATGTGGCTATATCAAGGAGCGATTTCCCATAATTATTGCTTTTAACATCAAGACTACATCTTGGGGTTTGTATGTCTGAGGCTATATCACTGGGTAGGTCTGGCAGGTGATCTATGTTTGTATTATCAATACATTCATCCTCGCACGCTGTACGGGCATTAAAGTCCCCCCCCAAAATGATCTCACCTAAATTAGAGAATTTGATTATTTCTTTAAGGAGGATGTCAAATGGATCAATATTGCATTTTGTCCAAAATGAGGACCCTTCTGGCGGTATGTAGATGGTACCTATATAAATATCTCTCTTGGTGCAACATAATGTTCTATCTATTTTCACCCAGAGAGAAAAAAGGCTAGATGAAATCACATTTACATGGTGTTTAAGGTCGTTTCTACAGAGGAAGGCTATTCCACCTCGACTACTGTTTCCAAAACTATGTTTTCTAGATACACTAATGGTATGAAATCCATGAAAGCAAACATCACTTTGGTTCTCCCAAGTCTCAGTTAAACCAAGAAAGTCATAGTTTTTCAGTTTGTCATACAAATCATTGTCTTTTGTATGATGGAGTCCTTGTATGTTCCAAAATGAAAAGTTCATATCACACTGGGTATACATCATTCACAGAATAATAAAAACAAAGCAAAATATAGCCTAATGTGGCACAGGCAGGAAAAAGCACGGTTTGCTGAGCTGCCAGGTTGGTCCGGAGGAGAGTCATCATATATGCATTGTACAATCTTGTTTTGGTATTATTATGAATATAATCCACATGGAATTTGGCACTTGAGGATGGTATGATATAATCCTTGGATACATGAAAGTAAGGTGTGTTAATATAACACAGAAAGTTGATGGCACATCAAACCAATATGGAGAATAAATATACTCCATCACTCTTTTCAAATAACTCCAGAGAGGCACATACGGAGTTTGCGGATTATGTCCTGTGCTGAATCACTTGTTTGTAGTTGTGATGGTGGCGATGACCACCATATGGAGGCGGGGTCCATGGACGGGTTCAGTTGAGCGCTTGGTCCTATCTGTGGGGGGACAGGCCATGGGGGTGGTACCTGGTGCCCAGGAGGTGGAGGTGGTCTCAGTTGTCCATTCCTGCTGTCATGGGATGTATGATAAGGGGGCAGCAGCTGTATCTGCCAGGGTTGCTGTGATTCCTGGGGTTGATGTAACATTAGATCAGGATTTACATTTCCAAACTGGGAATGATGGTGATGTTTGTTGTTGTTGTCACTGATCTGATGCACTGGATGACTTGTAGGCTGAGGTCTGGATGCTTGTATATCTCTTAAGTTCGATGACAGAGGTGGAAAATTAGTACGATCAAGTTTTGGCGGTATCATCAACGAAATGTTGTCCGTAAAGGAATTGACGAAAAGATGGATTTTGTGTTTGCTTGGGTGGACCTTATCATGGTACATGTTTTTCTTAGGAGCTCCTGAGGCAGTAATGAACACACTGTCATGGTTAATAACGTTGTGTTTGTACTTCTGTCCAATACGTCTTATTGTATCGTTGCCTTTTGCAATGGACTGGAACAACATTCCACGTGTGGAGCTTGGCACCATCAGAGACAAGTGTATCTTTGCCCTGGGGAATGCATTTTGACATTTCATTATCAATTTTTCATATTTGTCTTGGTCCAGTGAGAAATGTGGTGGAAGCCAGCAGTCGTTTACACCAACATGAAGTACCAATGTCTCCACTGAATGGTTAACTTTGAACTTATTGAGTTCTTCGAGTAGTTGTTCAGTGGTTGTTCCAGAGAAACTGAAGACTGCTGAATGATGAGAGTCTGGGAGGTGTGGCCTTACAAATCTTAAGACTGAGTCTCCTATGAACACAGTCTTTACATGACTGTTTACTCTGAACATTTGCTCCTGTGCATTAGTAATGATTTTCCCTCCATTTCTGGTGTTTCTATCATTCTGTGATGACTCCTGCTGTGAGGTTTTGTCTTTCACTGGCCTTCTGTCCTTCACTACTGTGAATTCTGAGGGGCTTGAGTCAGCACTGGGGGGTGAAGTTGGTTGCTGAGGCATGCTGCTCTCTGTTTCAACTGCTTGGCCATCGGAGGTCACAGGGGGTGCAGGTTTGGGATGAGGTGATGAGTTGTTGATGATTTCTTCTCTGTCCTCTATGAGTGTAATACGAGAGGCCAGTTGTCCGATCAACATAGTAATCTCAGTGTCTTCGGGAGGTAGGGGGGTTACAGAACGCTTCTCTTCCAGGGATTGGACTCTGTGGTTTAATTTTGTGATGGATTCTTGCATGGTTTTATGTCTTTTGGTATCTGAAATACGTTCAGATTTTAACATTTCCAGTTCTTTTTCCATTTTAGTGTATTTTAGAAACAAATCTTCAAATTTACCAGCCCAGTCACATTCAATTGCTTTAGTCCTGTTGCCTGTTTGAATAGAACTGTCTTTGATTAGTTGTTCGGTTGACATCATGTGTTCTTCAAGGCGAGCTTCTTGTGCAGTGAAAGACTCTTTCAGTGAGTTCACAGAGTGCTGGTAGGTCAAAATACTTCCGAAATCCTGTGTCTTTCTTGATGATTTTGATTTGGTCATTTTATTGGTTTTCTTTTGTGGGGTAATCTCAGTTTTGTCAGCACTGACCCTCACAAGTTGGGATGTCCTCCTGTCCTCTTCTGCCATAAGTGTTGGTAGATTTGAGATGATTCCTTGTTGAATGTCATCCACGAGTGATATGAGTTTGGGGACTTCCTTTTCGTACCAATCTTTTGCTCCTATTCCCTGGAATTGGAGCCTGTTTGAGGTCCGGTAGATATGCAGGGTTCCATATCTCTTATATTGATTTGATACTGAATCAAAGAAAGACACAATAATTTTATCTTCACATATAGCCCCTGTCTCGTCTCTGTGTTCTTTCCATTCTGTATGGATATGTGTGTCCGATTCACTTGACACCCAGTATAGTTGGAAAATTGCTTGTCTATATATTTCAAAAAAGTCAGTCCTCAAAACAACATTACAGCATCTGTCAGAGTTTTTCCAGCATACATCTTCAAGAGAAACATTTTTGCTGATATCTTGAAGGTTGTCTATTTTCTTTTTGAGCGCCTTTTCTCTGTTAAGTGTAAAGTTAGTAACTTTGGTTTCACTCACTCTATGTCCTTGGCACTCTTCTGCTGGGATGTCCCTCAGGTCAACCAGGGGTCTCTCCATGCCGGCCATGTTGGCCTGGAAGCACTGGCTTAGCACATGCTGCAGTTATGATTCCTCAACTTTGAAGATGTAGAAGTCGTGACATTCTTTTTGTTGACAGGATCACATTCTTGATGACTTCTTACATCTTGACTCATACATATGAGGTTGTATTCCACTTTTTTACTGAGTTATCCGCATAAATTTCTGCTACAGATGTGAAGTGTAACCCATTAATCAGGGGAGGTAACTTGTCGCAGAAGGTAACCCTGACTTGTATTAAAATTCGGAGGGAAATAAAAGACAATTAGTGTTTCCCGGACTGTCTTAAATATTGCTCTACACTAGATGGTATTTCGATACAATGCACGTGGCGACGACCGAGCAGTTGTTAGGGGAAAATATTTAGCCTATCTGAGGTCACATTATCTCCGCGCCATTCATGACTATCGCAGTCAGGGCTTCCAGGTCATTTACCCTGAGGAAACCTGGGTGAATCAGGATTATTCCACTGACTACACGTGGCTACTGTCAGATGGACAAAAAGCATCCACGGTACTAACAGGTCAAGGTAATCGTGTCATTGTTTTGCACGCCAGAACCCGTGATCCGGGGCTTATTGAGGGATGTGAGTTTAAGTATTCACGGAAATGAAAAAAACCGGCTGTTTTTTCGATCTCAGATTTTATATAAATGCAGTAAATATACAAAATAGATAAATATTCAAACAACTTAATTAGTACTAATTGGGCGTTGGCACAAATACAGCGTATCAAAGGTTTTTATGTCTTTTTACACGTAAAAGTGTGTAAAAATATGAACAAAACAGACTATTGTGAAACTGAACATAACCAGGTGTTAGCAGATCAAGGTGAATGTCCATGACCTATGACACCTTGACGACAGGTGAAAACAGGTGCTTGAAACCCACGTGCATGTGATTTGTCAGTGGTTAGTGATTTGTGATAGTGAATCATCGTCAAAATATCAGAACGTAAACGTAACATATTCCCTTCTCAAACAACAACTTACATGTCATTATTATTATGTACATAAACATAACTGTTATTTTTATTGTTGTTTTGATAACTTTTTTCCAGGCTAATTTGCATAATACCTATAGCCTGTTTCTGCCATGTCAATTTGGAACTTAGTTTTATTTTTGAATGTTGAAAGTGCCTACAAATTACCTCCTGTAAAGTACATTTTGTATTGAGCACTGAGATAAAACTAGCAAATACAGACTAGTACTTTTCCAGTTGTTTTGTTATTTCGTATTTACATCTACGTAATGCTTTGTGTCGATTATTAAATCCAGAAAAACAGGGTTTTTTCATTTCCATGAGTACTTTAGTTTTCGAGGCGAAAAAAAACCTGGTGATTATCACAAGGAAACGAACTGTGATGTGTTCATACACTGGTTGTAACATTAGTTAATGCCCAATATAAACAACCCCGGTGTCACTGTTAACGCCAGTTACTATGGTGAGTGAGTATTAGTTTACACCGCTTTTAGCAATATTCCAGCAATATCATGGCGAGCGCTTTAACCACTAGGCTACCCGCCCGCGCTCCCGCCTGCCAGATACTATAACTTTGGGAACAAGATACTGGTGCGCCAACCATGAGTAGTCTGAAGACCATGCAGGATTATCTGACATCTTGCAATGTCGATTTCAGACCATCTGAACGAAAGTTCAACTCATGGAGACAATTCGCCGGAATAAGAAGCCAGTAACATACAAGACATACGTCCTGGCGGCACAACACGGTCAAGTTGTCTTACGTACGTCAGACATTGTGAGCTCAACCATATTGAGCCTATCTTGGCTAACTGTACAGGGTTCGTGGCAAGACATAACACAACATTCAAACTCACACATGTCAAAGGGAGGATTTGCGCAGTCATTGATGTCAGCCTTATTGAATCAGTTATCATACCTTTGGGTGACAGTACAGATTCATATACATCATCTGCGGAGTCAGATGCAATACCTGAAGGGGGCGGTAGGGTAGCCTAGTGGTTTAAGCATTCGCTCGTCACGCCGAAGACCCGGGTTCGATTCCCGACATGGGTACAATGTGTGAAGCCCATTTCTGGTGTCCCCCGCCGTGATATTGCTGGAATATTGCTAAAAGCGGTGTAAAACCATACTCACTCACACGCAATACCTGAAGAAATCATCTGTAGAACATCATGTACTTCTTGATTCAAAAACCGCAACCTTTTAACTATTCCATCATTTTTCCAAGCAAATTTAATGCAGTACATATTCTAAATTGCTACACAAACAATGCATATCTCAGTAAAGTACAATAACAAAAATATTTTGAGACCATCCCCACCTCAGGTGACATTTGCACCTGCGTGAATGCACGAGCAGGTGCGAGGTCATCACCTCGGGACAGGTGTTGGGTTATATGCCGTTTCATACATGTATGACAACGCACGAATGTTTTCTAAGTTTATCATCATCTTACCTGTTAAAGTACCTTTGCAGGCTAATCACAGTACCCGTTCGGAAAGGCTAGATAAGGTAGATTTGCGTTATTTTTATATATGCTAGTTTCATAGCCCTATGATTCGTAATTATCAAATGAAGCCAGAAAAACATTTTTCTAGCATTTCCGGCAATACTTTAGTGCAAATATTTTCCTACAGGAAGATAACAAATGATTGATTTTGACAAACAGCGGTATAACGGTATTTTCCAAACGAATGGTGGAACATATTCATTATCTATTTTTTACCTGTAAAAGAATATTTTAAGGCTAATCACAGTGCCAGTTGGGATAGGCTAGATTAGGTCGATTTGCGTTATTTTGATATGCTATTTTTATAGCCCTATGACTCGTATTTATCAAATGAAGCCAGAAAATATTTTTCTAGCATTTCTGACAGTACTTTAATCCCTTGTCTCCGCTTTAGATACAAAACTCAGCACGCCCGAATACGTGGATCTTGTCCAAGGTCTCCTATTTAGAAACTAACCCCTGAACCCCCGAATACGTGGATCCTGTCCAAGGTCTCCTATTTAGAAACTAACCCCTCCCCTGAACCCCCGAATACGTGGATCTTGTCCAAGGTCTCCTATTTAGAAACTAACCCCTGAACCCCCGAATACTTGGATCCTGTCCAAGGTCTCCCATTTAGAAACTAACCCCTGAACCCCCAAATACGTGGATCCTGCCCAAGGTCTCCTATTTAGAAACTAACCCCTGAACCCCCAAATACGTGGATCCTGTCCAAGGTCTCCTATTTAGAAACTAACCCCTGAACCCCCGAATACGTGGATCCTGTCAAAGGTCTCCTATTTAGAAACTAACCCCTGAACCCCCGAATACATGGATCCTGTCAAAGGTCTCCTATTTAGAAACTAACCCCTGAACCCCCAAATACGTGGATCCTGTCCAAGGTCTCCTATTTAGAAACTAACCCCTCCCCTGAACCCCCGAATACGTGGATCTTGTCCAAGGTCTGCTATTTAGAAACTAACCCCTGAACCCCCGAATACGTGGATCTTGTCCAAGGTCTCCTATTTAGAAACTAACCCCTGAACCCCTGAATACGTGGATCCTGTCCAAGGTCTCCAATTTAGAAACTAACCCCTGAACCCCCGAATACGTGGATCCTGCCCAAGGTCTCCTATTTAGAAACTAACCCCTCCCCTGAACCCCCGAATACGTGGATCTTGTCCAAGGTCTGCTATTTAGAAACTAACCCCTGAACCCCCGAATACGTGGATCTTGTCCAAGGTCTCCTATTTAGAAACTAACCCCTGAACCCCCGAATACGTGGATCCTGTCCAAGGTCTCCTATTTAGAAACTAACCCCTGAACCCGTGAAACCTGTCCAAGGTCTCCTTTTTAGAAACTACCCCCTGAATACGTGGATTCTGTCCAAGGTCTCCTATTTAGAAACTAACCCCTGAACCCGTGAAACCTGTCCAAGGTCTCCTATTTAGAAACTACCCCCTGAATACGTTGATCCTGTCCAAGGTCTCCTATTTAGAAACTAGCCCCAGAACTCTTGAATACACGAAGCTAGTCCCGGATCTCCGGTTTCGTAGCCCATATCCCCCCCCCCCCCCCCCCCCCCCCCCCCCCTCCACACACACACACACACACCACCATCACCGCCACCACCACCCTAACCCGAACCCCTCACATACATACAAACGCACGCGCACGCACACACTGCTTTGATAAATAATATACAACGCAGGCAGGTTAATTACTCTGTCTACTGACATGCCCTGTACTTGTGATGGCCATATTCTGCTCTCCTTAACCGACCTCCGACATTCTTGGGATTGCTTCCAAATCATATGCGCCGGCAACGCGCAGTGAAGATTATTGTTTTCTCGCGAAGAATCGCAGTGTGACCAACTTGTAAACAAGTGAGAGCAATTAACCCATTTCCAAGATATCGAGGCGTAATTGGTGGACTGCAGTTGGTACCACGCGGGGAGGGGAACCAATGCAAGACGACCATCCTTTAACAGCAGATCCTGAAGACGTTATCACTTCAGAGACATCGCCCGAATAATCGACTCCTACAATGCCGTTGTTATTTCTGGATGCGCGAGATTTCTCGGAACCACTGAACACACTCGCTCAACGTGCACAGTCCGGGCCTTGAAGTGAATTCGCTGCATATATGCGCGTCTGAAGGCCGACTCAGTAATGACGAGCTTTTGCGTAATAGTTGTTGATCATGTGACTTGTCATGTGACTACTACGCGCAGGTTCGGTCAGTGCATGGCCTCAGCTGTGGACTTTCCCGGAGCTGATAACGCCAGGTACGACTGTGACCCACAGATAACGCCCCCACTTCATAGAAATTGGATCGGTCAGGGTTGCTGAAGTGACCGTCAGTAGTATTATTACACTCACGCTCAGTCTCTGAAAATATATAAATTTTAATATATATATATTTTATTTATAGAAACAAACAATTCCGATTAAATCGAAAAGGGGCCCCACTGAAATGGGAGATTCAGAACCCGAACCTGTGGAAAATCCAGACTTGCTTCATTTGGGGTTTTACGTTACAAAAAGGGCTAGGCGGAAGGGGAAATAATATGGTTCAGGGTCTGTTTTGTCTTTGTTCTTTAACGCCACACTCAGCAATATTCCAGCTATATGACGGCGGTCTGTAAATAATCGAGTCAGGACCTGACAATAGAGTAACTAACATCATGAGCACTGACCCACGCAATTGGGATACGTTGATATGCATCAACCAAGTCAGCGAGCCTGACCACCCGATCCCGTTAGCCGCTCTTACGACAATCATAGTCGCCTTTTACGGCAAGCATGGGTTGCTGAAGATCTATTCTTCACCGGATCTTCAGGGTCTGTGAGACCAGAGACCATATATTATATCTGGTGAGACAGACTAATGGTATTATGTAATCCCTGGTTATCTGTTAAATTTGCGCTTAGGGTTCTTCGTCCAAAGTATCAAGCTGTAACGAGAGGTCGTTGAGTTTGAAATATTTGAAAAAATGGTTTTAATTTTTTAAACCATTTTTTTTGTACAATTGATTCTTTCAGTTGCTGAACAGACACTTAACGATACTGCCGTTCCTCGTGTATTTGGATAATGTGCTTTAGTTTTGGCCTGTGGTACTCGTTTGATCATGAGTGTTGAAGTGGTACGACGCAGCAGGTTTGTTTATGTCTTCTTTCCAACAGACCTTAAAACAACAATTATTGGGAGTACATGTTATAGAAAACTTTTATGGGTGACAGAACATATCGATTTTATTTCGTTCGCTTCAGGAGTTGGTTTAAGTGGAGAGAACTACATGATGACGGTGTTGTATCGGTGATGCATTACTACGTGCATCGCTGTCACAGCTGGAATATTTCTCATTGTGGCTTAAAACAACATTCAGTCAATCATGTATAACAAACGTTATGGCCTGATGTAGTGGATGGAGGAATGGAGGGGTGAGTGGGTGGGTAGTGAAGGAATGAGTGGAGGAATGCGTGAAGGAGTGAGTGGAGGAGTGAGTGAAGGAGTGAGTGACAGAATAAGTGGAGGAGTGAGTGTAGGAGTGTGTAGAGGAGTGAGTGGAGGAGTGAGTGAAGGAATACGTGGAGGAATGAGAAGAGGAGTGTGTAGAGGAGTGAATGGATGAGTGAGTGAAGGAATGAGTGGAGGAGTGAGTGAAGGAATGAGTGAAGGAATGAGTGGAGGAGCGAGTGAAGGAATGAGTGAAGAAGTGAGTGGAGGAGTGAGTGAAGTGAATGGAGGAGTGAGTGAAAGAGTGAGTGAAGGAGTGAGTGGTGGAGTGAGTGGAGGAGTGAGTGGAAGAGTGAGTGAAGGAGGAGTGAAGGAGAGAGTGAAGGAGTGAGTGGAGGAATGAGTGAAGGAGTGAGTGGACGAGTGAGTGGAAGAGTGAGTGGAGGAGTGAGTGAAGGAGTGAGTGAAGGAGTGAGTGGAGGAATGAGTGGAGGAATTTGTGAAGGAGTGAGTGGAGGAATATGTGGAGACATGAGTGGAGGAGTGAGTGAAGGAGTGAGTGGAGTAGTGATTGAAGGAGTGAGTGGAGGGGTGGAAGAGTGAGTGAAGGAGTGAGTGGAGGAATGAGTGGAGGAATTTGTGAAGGAGTGAGTGGAGGAATATGTGAAGACATGAGTGGAGGAGTGAGTGAAGGAGTGAGTGGAGGAGTGAGTGAGTGAGTTAGTGAGTATGGTTTTACGCCGCTTTTAGCAATATTCCAGCAACATCACGGCGGGGGACACCAGAAATGGGCTTCACACATTGTACCCATG